AATTAGCACAGAAACAGTACTATATAACATTTTAGACACATTCTAGACAGTTTATCAGCTAAAAATAGTTAATTTTGGGGTAAGTTACTCTTTAACAGAAAAGTTAGGAGCTTTTCAAACAGTGTATAAACGAATAAAACTTTGAATTGTAAAGAAAAATTTGCTCAATGAGGTTTGATTTTCACCAGCATTAAACAGTAGTAAGAAGTAGAAAGAAATTTGTTTTTGGTTGYTTACTTTTATTGCTTCAATGCTTCTTGTCAATAAGTCATAATGTTTGGAAAGTCCCTTAAATGGCGCCAAATTTCTTAGGAAAATGTTTTTTGTGGATTGAGGAACAGAGGAGTATCTGAGTTATGCCAATGAAAAACTTGCCAAAACTTCTCTACCAAACAGCTTATTCTTGCTGTTGACTCTTGTTTGGTGTCATTTGTTGGATTGGCTAATTAAAGTCTGAGGAAACCAAATATAATGGTAATTTTGCATAACAAACAGGGGGCGCAGTGGCATGTGGAAGAACCATACACAGCCACTGCAACCTGCCACCTCCTCCTCACTTACTTGGTCACTCACTGCTGTTGGATGCCATCCCACTCTTAAACCAGAATTTGTCACAAGTCAAGGTGTGGTAAAGTTGATCACTCTCAAACAAACCAACCAACCAGTATGCAATGAGGTTTTGATCTGCAGGCAGGCCATTCCATCATCTCCATTCCCAAATCTGTGAGGGCTGTCTTGTCATCTTGGAGTATAGAGTTCAGACCCTGACTGTTGATAGTTAGGTTTGCCACTGATTGCTCACAGGTCCTGAGAATTCTTAGCACCTGGGGTACCAGGAACTCAAAACAAGTGTCAAAAACAAAATAAGCTATTTTACCAGAGAAGTTATGGCAAGTGTTTCAGTGATACAACCCAGATCCTCAACTCTGTTGCTCAACCCACAAATGCATTTTCCTAACAAATGTGGCGCCATTTAATAGGACAAGTTTTCCAGTGGTATAAAATTTATTGCCAAAAAATCATTGTTGCAAGAAAAGAGCGATAAACCAAACACAAATTTCCTTTTTGTGTGTGTGTGTGTGTGTGTGTGTGTGTGTGTGTGTGTGTGTGTGTG